TGTAATCATAAGCACCTTGTTTGGGTGAACATGAACATTTTAAACATGTACAGCGAAAAATTTGGTTGGCTGGTCGTTTTGTCGTTATCATTTTTCTCGCAATATTCTTATGCACGTTGTGCATTACGTTGTCAATCTGGTTCATGGGCACAGAAGACATTACGCAGTTTCAGGCTACTTCAAGCACCGTATTGTAGTATAAAAAGCCTTGAAGAAAGCTATCAATAACTTTTTTAACACAGTTGCTTAATCTGATGCATGATATATCACTAAACTTTCGTGCGTATTCATCAATGTAAGCTCGTCTTAGTGTTATCCAAAATGAAGATGCGAGTCGACAAAAGGAAGCATCTAGTGGGGTAATCAGGGTGAACAGTGGAAGTGCCTCAGACAGGCTGGCCGAGGTTGCCATAGGAGGACCTATTTTTTAGATGTCGCTTTGTCACCCTTGGCACGTTAGTTTAAATGGGGTTAGTAATGACATCGCCTTTTGGTGTAGGCATGTGTGCTTGTTGCAGATGTTTGTCTGAAAAAAAAAACCTATAAGGCAGAAGAGTGCAGCCCTCGCTTTCTTTCAGGTTAGGTTGCGATAATACAAAGTGTTTTACTGTCGGAGGTTGGCAGTAAGGAAAGCAAAAAAAAAGGTTAAAGAAAGAAAAGAAGAAAAAAAAAGAAAGAAAAGGGGGATGCAAAGTAAAAGTAGTGTGCTACACTGCTCCTACTTTTCATCCCCACTTTTCTTCTTTTTTTCCCTTTTCTTTTTTCACCTTTTTTTACATTTGCATTGTCTCATCTAGTGCATGAATCAATGACACATGGCTTTGCTATAGCAAAGATGCCTATGTGCTGTTGGCTTGAACAGTGCATTGTGCTTCATTCAGTTTAATTACAGGCTGATCAGTCTTGTAATAAGTGCTTCCTGTCTATCACCACACATGATCAAATGAAAAGTTTGCGCTTGGCTCTTGGTATACTGGTATATAGCTTGTGTCTTGGACTACTCAAAATGAATGTTATTTTGCTGCTGTTTATGGTAATGAATTTACCCAACATGAAAATATCTTGCCTTGTGAACTTTGTCAGAGCTGCCTTTCTTTTTCTATCCTATGCAGGCATTGTATGTAAGGATGGCAGTAACAAAGAGGGGATAGCTTAAGCTTCGGAAGAATAAATAGTGGCAGTGAGGCGATTCCACATCAAACATTCAAGCCATTTTGCCAACCATCCTAAATGTGTTTTGAAAAAAAATATTCTGCTCGTTTACTGTACTGAAAACAGCAAACGGATAAAATATATCGCAGAGAACAAAATATTACGCCACCTTGGTGCCTTCTGGACTTCCCAGGATGTCGTCTCAGCGTTGTTTGTAAAAAAAAGTATTTCAAAAATACTGCCTCTTCTACACAAAATTTGGTCTAGGCATTAAGTAAAAGTGATCGCGTGTAGTGCATGAAGCTCAGTAATATTAGTGCAAGTTTTTTGCCACGTCAAAAGCAGGAAAGCAGTCCTCTTTATATGACACGTTATGTGATTACACTTTTAGTTTTAAACAAGAAAATAATTTTTCAAGTTTTCTAATGATGGCTGTTTCCGCATTTTATATACGACAGCTTCCGTTCCAAAGATCCCTGTGGCCCTCAATAGGAGAATTCAAAACTCATTTTCTTTATTGAAACAAAAATTGTAATGATAACGCTTGCCATATAACAAGAACTGTTTATTTGCTTTCAACGTACACATAAAAGTAGTTTTCAATTAAACAAACACATAGTGCGAATTGCACTTCAATGTGGACAAAAACGATTATTAAGTGATATTTGTAATCTGGACCTAACATTAGTTTCTTATCGTGAAGTATACTTTCTGTGGAGTGAGTATTTATGGCTCAAATATTCGTACAAAGTGCAGTATTGCCATACAAGAAATGCAAACGATTAACAGTTTGGCTGAATTCTTCAAAGCCTATGTTGCGGAAAAATTGCACTAATGTCACTCGGCTTCAAATACTTTAAAGAACCACCGTTACTTACTATCTAGATCAAATTCGATATGGCAAAAAGTGGTACTTTTAAAATTTTCTCACAAACAACACCCCCACGAAATTCTGTGAAATTTTTGAAGGTACCCACGTGACCACTACGTTTTTCTCTTCACTATATTTCAACAAATAATTGTTTTCAAAAGAGTAAAAAACCACCAATTCTCAAACTATATATCTGTGATGGTCGACAGGCAGTATGCTTTCGATGTTTGGTGTAGAATGGCCCAGTGGGAAAAACAACAAATGTCTGAGCATCCTTTGATGCTCGGGAAATCACGAAAGCTTTTTTTGTTAGCAGCAATTCAATTAAGCCCTTGTCTTCATGCTTAGGCCCATGCTTAGGCCCAGAAACAAAACACAAGTAACCAAAGTAGTCCTAGGAGTCATGCAGTCTCGCTGTTCCAAGGCTTGTGGAGCCTAATTTAGTGCAAGCTTCATCATTTTTTAAAAATTCAGAGGGGGGTGCTCCGGTCGCCGAGCTGAGCAGACGTGCTCCGAATGAGCTCCGCAGTTTTCGCTAATTGTGTCGCCTTAATTGCTTCTAATCGATTGAAAATTATCACTGCAGTGTCCGTGAACATCCCTGGACTCGATTGATACCATTTTTGGTCCGGCCAACCGAACTTTTCGTCAATTTTCCACGTTTTCTTCACTTGTGCGATGCTAGGCCTAGCGGACCACGCCTAGGCTTAGCGGACCACGCCGGCCGCGGCGCGCAGCTGCGTCGGCCGCCCGCGGCCCCGCTCGACGGCTCGACGCTCGACTCCTCATCGCTGAAGATGGCCTCGGCCTCATCGCAGCTCAACGCCGTTTCCCACAACCGTTTCACGGCCCTTGCTACGGAAGACATAGACTTTTGTGCTGGCGGCAACGACACTACGACCACCGACAAGATAAACGACCAAGAGGTGCTACGCAGCACCGGCCGCACCGCAGTCGCGATGCGCGGCGACGACTTACACCCAAGCGACATCGCGGGATGGAAAATCTCCGGAAAACAAGTAAGCCAACGACTTAATAAGCCCCAGCTTAACGAAGTTACCCAAAGCAGCAAGCCAACTCCGCAATTTAGCGAAGCTCAAGCAAAAAAAACGCATGGTAGCGAGAATCACTAAAGCGTCCCGCATGCCGCTGAATTTGCCGCGGGAAGAGCAGAAGATTGTAATACGACCGAATGGAGGGCTATTTCTAGCGAAACTCGAAGCTGACATCGTAATGTCCGCAGTCATAACGGCAGCCAACGTTCTCAAGACCGCAGCGAAAGCAGATACGATTTGCACTAATCCCACGCAGAACATCATCGTGATCAGCACGCCCGATGAAGAACGAGCACGTTACTACGCAAGCGTACGCTCCCTGTACAGTGGGGCTGTAGGTACGAAACGCATGCCTACTGCACCGCGCCCCATGACACAGTGAAAGGAGTAATCCGTGGCATCGCAGTAGAGAACACTGCCGAAGATCTGCACGAGAATATCGTTAACCAAGCAGACCCTCAGGCCCTCGAAGCGCACTGGATTTGAAACAATACCTCGATTGTCATTTTGTTCGCAGAAACAAAGGTTCCCAACTACATAAAGTACGGCTCCATTATAGTAAAAGGTGGATTATACAGACAACACCACAACGTATGCAAGACATGCGGCAAAAACGGCCATCGAGCCGATGTATGCCCCACGCCGGAAACCAAGATCTGCTTTGCGTGTGGCGCGTCTAACCCGGCGGCAGACCACGCGGCGCGGTGCAAGCCACGTTGCAAACTGTGTAACGGAGCCCACCCCACGGGCACGGAAGGCTGTACGAACAAGTACAAAGTGCCCTTCGTAGTTACTCAGCGTAGATGGGAGCGCAGAAACGCGGCGTCAACGTTTTCGTCGCAAGACTTCCCGCAGCTGCCACCGCAACAACAGAACGAAGCACATCTATCAAAGAGAGAACGCAGCCGCTCGAGGAAGCGGGACAAAAGCGGAGGACAATCGGCGAGCCGCAGCAGAAGCACCGACGGCAAGCGCAGCGAAAACATGAATTACAACCGCAACCAGCAAAGACCGGGCAACGTGATAAATGGGGCCCAGGCAGTCAACCGGCAAGCGGCGAACCGCAATCCGCTCAACCACGCAGCTGAAGCGAAGGACAACACCATCCAGTCACTACGCAATGAAAATGACCAGCTCAAGCGATGCATCGCTTAACAGAGAGCTAAGATGCAAGAGATGAATGCTAAGTTGAACCAACTCATCAACGCACAGGAGCAGCAGCAGCAGCAACAGGTGACTCCGACACCGCCGCCGTCGCCGCCGCAGACTCAACCAAGACCCCCAACGCCAACGGAAAACAACACAAACTCAGCCATGGAGGTACAAGTCCCAGTTACTACGGAAGCTAACAGCGCAGAACCCGAAACGATCAACGTTGCTAGGACAAGCGAACCGGCACCCAAGAAGCGAGCGCTCGAATACGCACGTGCAAGAAGAGTCAACGCTAGGCTGGACAGCCTAGAAGAACGTCAAGATCGACTAGAACAGACCATGAAAGCCAACTACGAAACCCTGAGCTAAGCCATCAAAGCTACTAACGATCGTTTCGATGCTACCAACGCACGCCTCGACACATTGGTGACACCTGTACATGGCATGCAGTCTACCATACAAGGAATACAGACTAAGTTGGATGCACTAATACACGCGCTGACGGCGTCAGGACTAATCCCACAACAGGCCTTCACCCAACCGCAATAATGGACGGGACAACGGCAACAGGCACCGCTAACCACAGAAACAGAGCACAGACACAACAGCATCATCTCCTCATATGGCAATGGAATCCCAACGGCATACAGGGGAGAAAAGCATCGTTACAACAGTACATACTCCAAAGCACCAAGACACCCGACGTTATAATACTACAAGAAACGCACAGTGAAACCCCACCGACGTTACCGGGGTACAGATCCTTTGCGATGCTCCCCCGCGCACGAACAGTTGGGAAAGACGCAGGGCAGGGGGTCTGCACCTTGGTAAAGAAGAATCTAACTTTAATAGATCACGAGCTGCTACCCAACGGCACCATCGAGCGCAGCACGGTCGAAATCGTCATCGGGAAGCGCAAGCGCCGTGAAAGCACTTTTATAATCAACGTGTACAGCAATCCGAAGCACCTCGAGCAAAAATTCCGCACCCTTGTGCACAAAGCGCAACTCGTGGGCTCCAACGTAACCCTACTGTGTCGAGACTTCAACGCTCAACATACGGCATGGGGGTATCCATACACGACGGCGAAGGGCCACAGTCTCTACGACGAAACAATGGATGCAGGTTACCAATTGCTAAACGACCCTAACGCACCTACGAGAAGCGGAACGTCGTCGCAGCGAGACACAAACCCGGACCTCGCTTTCATGAACACGGCCTCGGCACTGCGTGGAGTCACGTGGCGGAACACCGGGGAGACGTTGGGAAGTGACCACTGCATACTCGAAATTTCAATACCCATCGCAGAGAGCCCGCAAAGAGCACAGCAACAGCGAATCGTCGACTGGCACGAGTACAGAAAGAAATTAGAAGACAACGTTACGGAAACCATTGAAAACATAGCAGCATGGACCAACATGTTGAACGCCATGACCAAAGACGCCACTCAGACGGTAGAAGCGGAGCCGGAGGCTACGATGCTGGACAGCAGACTATCGCACCTCATGGAAGCCCGTAACTTGCTGAGACGGCGCTGGAAACGTCAATGCCACAACAGAAAACTACGCAAACGTATAGCACAACTCAACAGAGATATCAAGCATCACAGCGCAGTCCTCTGCAGACAGCAGTGGCACGCGGCGTGTCAAGAAGCCGACGGTCAACTACACAAAGGCAAGACGTGGCGCCTGCTACGCCACTTGCTCAATGATCAGACAACCAAGGGAGCTCAACATTAGATGCCGAACAAGACAATTCACAAAGCCGTCAAAGAAATGGGAGAGGCTGAGGTGCAACGACGCCTGGACGCCAAGTATCTCCCCGTAACGCCAACGGACCCACTCCCCAGCTACGAAGGGGCAACCAACGAGAGACTAGATGCCGACATCGAAGAATAGGAAGTGCGAGCGGTTCTACAAACAATCAACTGTAAATCGGCATCCCGACCGGACCACGTCAGCAACAAGGCATTGAAGAACTTGAAAGACACGGCAATCGAAGCCCTCACCAAGTACTACAACCAGTGCTGGCGGACGGGCAAGCTACCGCAACAAAGGAAGACTGCGAAAACGGTCCTGATCCCCAACCCGGGCAAACCACCCAGCATAGACAACCTGAGACCCATCTCTCTAACGTCGTGCGTGGGCAAGGTGCTTGAATACGTCCTACTCAACAGATGGCAGCGTTATTTGGAAGAATCCAACATATATCCACATACAATGCTGGGATTCCGGGCCAAACTGTGTACCCAGGGCGCCATGCTGTTGCTCAAGAACGAAATCGTGGACCGACACTTTCCCACGTTGGATAACAGAGCGGTGCTCGGACTGGATCTCCAGGGAGCATTCGACAACGTACACCACTCGGCCGTCCTTCGGCAGGTGTCCCACCTCAACATAGGGGAGAGGACCTTCGCTTACATCAAAGATTTCCTGACCAACCGCACCATGCGGCTTGTGGCAGGAGAACTACAACTACCGCTCAAGCAGCTGGGGAGCACGGGGACACCGCAGGGCTCGGTGATCTCCCCTCTGTTGTTCAACCTTGTCATGATAGGCGTTGCAAGAAGATTGAAACGCGTTAGAAACATCAAGTACACGATCTACGCAGACGACATCACGCTGTGGTCAACGGGAGGAAGCGACAGCCAGATCGAGGCAGCCCTCCAAGAAGCCGTCGCTGCCGTAGAAGAACACCTACGACCCACTGGACTCAAACGTTCACCAACCAAGTCGGAACTGCTAGTGATCTCACCGCGAAGTGTGGGACGCCCGACAACGCAGAACATCAACGTGGTAACCCAAGACGGAACGCCGATACCGCACGTGCAGACGCTCAGAGTTTTGGGGCTGCACCTCCAGAACTTGAACCGCAACAACGTGACGGTACAGAAGCTCCACGCAAAGCTCTCGCTGGCCACCCGCCTACTCAAGAAGGTGGCTACACGGCACCAGGGCATGCGAGAAGACAGTCTACTACGACTCACCCAGTCGTTTGCAGTCAGCCACATCTCTTACGTAGCGTTGTTCCACAATTGGAAAGCGGCGGAGAAGATCAAGATTCACGCGATGATCAAAAAGGTGTACAAGACGGCCCTGGGCTTATACCCCCCCCCCCCCCAACACGGAACGCATGCTCGCGTTGGGCGTTCACAACACGCAGGAAGAAATCACAGAAGCCCAGCGAACGGCGCAGTATCACCGCCTGTCCCAGACCAGGACGGGAACAACGATACTACAACGCATCGGAATCAACGCGCCAGCGACGACTCCGGAGGTAGCAAAGTAGCTACCCCGGGACGTTCTCCAAAGACTGAGGGTTCCACCCTTACCGAAGCATATGCATCCGCAAGTACACCAAGAAAGAAGAACGGCGAGAGCCACGGCCCTCACAAAAGATCACGCCAACTATCCGCGTGCGTACTACGTGGACGTGGCGAAGTATCCCCACCGGCCAAACACGTACGCAGCAGCAGTCATCGCAGCAGACACTGGAGTACTCACAACGTCGGGAAGCATACGGAGCAAGTCGCCCACGCAAGCCGAGGAGTTTGCAATCGCACTGGCACTAGCGATCCCAGATTGCCGCACGGTCCTCAGCGACTCGAAGACGGCAATAGTCAACTTTGCTACAAACAACGTCCATGGAACCACTGCAAGAGTATGTTCAACTATAGCAAGACCGGAATCCAACATTACCGTCAAGTGGTTCCCTGCGCACGAGGCGGCAGATACGGAGGCACACGGGCTAACTAGCCGCGGGTCTCTGTCAACGCATTCCTAGGAGCCGCAACGACCCGATTCCGAAGACGGAGAGTATTTTATCACAACCTACGCCGACGTTCTGCAGTGGTACAGAACGAGTAGACGCCTCTACCCACCGCCTCACCGAGACCTACAACGCAGAGAAGCAGCCACACTACGGCAGCTGCAAGTACAAGCCATATGAACCCCCGCCTGGGCAAAGCACGTTTGCCCGGATGTTTACACCACTGATGCATGCCAACACTGCAAGAAGGCGCGAGCCACCCAGAGACACCTCCTCTGTGACTGTGCACCACCGCCGGGTAACCAAGAAGTAATGCCAACTGCCATAAGCAGCAAAATCATTAGCCGATAGCCAGGCAACCAAAGAGACGTGGTCCAGCCCGTGCTTAGCATTCTGGAACACAAGTGGCCGAAACACAAGCGGCCCACGGGTTTGACACGAGTAGGTTGCTGCTCCGGGACGTCCGAGCACGCTAGTGTCTCGCTTTAATCCCCCTATTCCTTCCCCCTTTATGCCGGATCGTCAATAAAGTTGTCTCACTCACTCACTTAAAAATACAGATTCAGCCAACAGGTTTTGGAGGCACAGTGCATTTTCAGCTAAATTGTTTTTCACCAGTTACTTGGATAAAAGCGGCAATTAGATGTAAAAGTATCATTTGAAAGGCATTGTGGGTAATAACAAAAAGGTCTGCTTTCTTTTTTCGTGTGGTGCTTTGCCTGAACGCTGTGCTTTTTGTGGTATAGTTCATTGTCTAGTGAACATAGGCCTTGAAGACTAACAATAGTCTTGTTGAGCTCGATTTCTTGGTTATAGTCATAGTAGCCGTATTAAAAAATATGACTTCAAACTTGAATGTTCTTTTGAAGATTTTTTCTTGCATAATGATATTTCAGAGTCTTAGTCAATTTTCTTATAAGAAAACATGATGTCATAATAGGGTCACTTTTTATAGAGTCGTTCAGTTCTATTTCACCCTCTACATTCATAATAGAGCAGTTATTTTCAAAATTGTTATTTAGAATAGAATGAGCATGCTGTATGTAGTAAGGTGTAAGCACTAACAAATAGCACATGTACACAACTTTTCTGTTGGAAGTTTATTTCCGTTATTCTTGATTTATATGTGGGGTTTCACTTCCCAAAACCACTATATGATTATGAGAGACGCCGTGGTGGAGGGCTCTGCAAATTTTGACCACTTGGGTTTCTTTACCGTGCACCCAAATCTGAGCACACGAGACTACAGCATTTCTGCCTCCATCGGAAATGCAGCCGCTGCAGCCAGATTTGTTACCGCGACCTGCGGGTCAGCAGCCAAATTTTTGTTACTCTTGCTCTCCTATTTCTGTGCAGTTCGGTTATAGTAGTCTGACTTGCACAGATCTTTAATGGCACTTGCCTGATCCTGCTTGCTTTCATGGTGATTTTAACCTTCATAAGTTGCATAGTTGTACGTCTCAAAATTGTTCAAGATGCCAATTTTGTGCACAAACTGTATAGTTTAAAGGCAGCAAAAGTACATGTACGCACCATTAAATGTTTATTGAGAGCTTTCACTGGCAGTTCCTAAAGTTTTAGTGTGCAAGAAGCACTTAAAACAAAATTTTATAAGGACATTTTAATAGATTACCTCTACCAATGAAAATCGTGACATCAACCTAGTTATTTTCACTGCATGCTGTTTTCTTTCATGTGACAGAACTAATTTAAACATTTCTTTCTTCTATAATTAACATATGCATAACATGGAGGATTGTGTGCCTTACATTTTCCGTTTCATTCTGTGTGTTATAATTTTTGTGCATGTGAACTAAGGTGCTAACAAGTCTCTCTGACATTACTTGTGCCAATTATTTACATTTTCAGGTTCCTATGAAGGACACATAAGTTCTGTGGCAGTGACCTCTCAAATATACAGTGGTGCCGAAGCCTCAAGCAGCATTTCGCCGATCTCCACAAGGCGTTCATGAGATAAAGACACCGCCACACTTTCACAGTGCTATGATTATTATTTATGTTCAAAGATTTCGTTCCAAAATTGCTGTTACATTGTGTTTTGTGCCACCATTTTGTGGCTTAGGTGGAGCTCGTAAAATTATGGTGCAGTCACTTCATTTGCGCACCATCAACACTGCAATGTCGCTATTCAGAGGTCGAGCATACAGACAAATAAAAAATATATTGATTGTAGCAGGGCTGGTGTGTATATTAATGCTGCTCTATTGCAAATAATTACTTTATAAGTTATTAAGTCTTGCATAGAACACTGCATTAATGTGTTGCAATGTAACCACCGTTTATGATCGCTAGCATGTTAATTTAGTAGCTTTGTAACGTATTTTTTAAAAGCTAATTCTGCTTCCGCATCACTACAATTGGAAAGATGCCAAGGATTCAATCCCTCATCATGAATCTTTAAGAAATATAGTTATTTGTTCACAGTATTGCATGTAACCAAGATGTGGACGTCTATTCAATTTACACATTGTATTGCTAAGCACTAGATTCGGACAGTCATTTCATTTCCGCATAAATATACAGCTTTCTTTATCTGTGGAGCTTTCCGCATCATGCGGCTTTCCTTATCTGCGGACCCTTCCGCATCATGCGGCTTTTCTTATGGGCGGACCTTTCCGCATCCTGGGCTTTCCTTATGTGCGGAACTTTCCGTATCTTACGGCTTTCCGTAGTCCAATAATGGACATATTTGCAAGATGTTTGAGCGCGCGAACAAAGGAAAAAAGACAGGGTAGACAGAAAGAGCGCCAATAATGGCGTATGTGCGGAGCCGCACATACGGAAATTTCCAGTAGGGTTGGAACCATGATTTGCGAATATTTTTTAATCAGAGTGATCCTACGATTATATTTAGGTGACTTGTAGAATACCGCAGTTCTTGGTCACGCATTTTGTCCCAAATAAAGAGAACGCGACAGGTGCAAGCAACTGATTAATATTACTGAATAAT